GTAATGACTCCCTGAAATACCACACAGTCCCTCATCCTTCCAAGTGATCCCATCTCCAGAATTCGAGTCCGGCTGACTGGTTGTCTCAGAAAATACTGGGGACCCTCTGGCCCCTGGGGGTAGGTGGGGGGAAAGAGCTGCATCATGTTTAATTTCTCGGAATTGGAATCTTTGCTTATCGGAACTACTGGAAAGACCAGGATTTCCTCCTTGCTGCCCCAGCGTCTGAGCGTGGCGATCCAGAGGGGTAACGCCTGCTGCCGCCTAGGTTCCCCGTCCAACCTGCAAGAAGCTTCCTCCACAACCTAGCTTAAATGTTGGCACAAAGTTTACATGGTGCGATGTGCTAGTGAAGCCTCAGTCCATCAGTAGCTAGCAAGGCAGTAACTTGTAACATGCTAATTGTATTTATAGTTTCTACATTTTGACTCTTTATTAGCTAAGGTAATGTAAAGAGGGAGAGAGAGACAGAGAGAAACAGAGTAGTAATAGCAACAGTAGTAGTAGTAGTAGTAATAGCAACAGTAGTAGTAGTAGTAATAGCAACAGTAGTAGTAGTAGTAGTAATAGCAACAGTAGTAGTAGTAGTAATAGCAACAGTAGTAGTAGTAGTAATAGCAACAGTAGTAGTAGTAGTAGTAATAGCAACAGTAGTAGTAGTAGTAGTAATAGCAACAGTAGTAGTAGTAGTAGTAGTTAATAGCAACAGTAGTAGTAGTAGTAATAGCTAATAGTAGTAGTGTAGTTAAATAGCAACTAGTAGTAGTAGTAGTAATAGCAACAGTAGTAGTAGTAGTAGTAGTAGTGTAATAGCACAGTAGTGTAGTGATAGTAGTAGTAGTAGTAGTAATAGCAACAGTAGTAGTAGTAGTAATAGCAACAGTAGTAGTTAGTAACAGTAGTAGTATATAAGCAACTAGTTAGTAGTAATAGCAACAGTAGTATAGTAATAGCACAAGCAGTAGTAGTAGTATGCAACAGTAGTAGTGTAGTAATAGCAACAGTAGTAGTAGTAGTAATAGCAACAGTAGTAGTAGTAGTAGTAATAGCAACAGTAGTAGTAGTAGTAGTAATAGCAACAGTTAGTGTAGTAGTAGTAATAGCAACAGGTAGTAGTAGTAGTATAGTAATAGCAACAGTAGTAGTAGTAGTTAGTAGATAGCAACAGTAGTTAGTATAGATAGTAGTGTAGTAATAGAACAGTAGTAGTAGTGAATAGCAACAGTAGTGTTTGTAGTAATAGCAACAGTAGGTAGTAGGTAGTAATAGCAACAAGTAGTAGATAGGTAGTTGAGTAATAGCAACGAGTAGTAGAGTAGTATAGCAACAGTAGTAGTAGTAAGAACTGTAGTAGTATGTAATAGCAACAGTGTAGTAGTAGTAGTAATAGCAACAGTGTAGTAGTATAGTAATAGCAACATGTAGTAGTAGTAGTAATAGCAACTAGTAGTAGTAATAGCACAGTAGTAGTAGTAGTATAGCAACAGTAGTAGTAGTAGTAGTAATAGCAACAGTAGTAGTAGTAGTAATAGCAACAGTTAGTAGTTAGTATAACGTAGTAGTAAATATAGCAACAGTAGTTAGTAGTAGTAGTAATAGCAACAGTAGTAGTAGTAGTAGTAATAGCAACAGTAGTAGTAGTAGTAGTAATAGCAACAGTAGTGTAGTTAGTAGTAATAGCAACAGTAGTAGTAGTAGTAGTAATAGCAACAGTAGTAGTATGTAGTAGTAATAGCAATAGCTAGTAGTATATAGTAGTAAGTATAGCAACAGTAGTAGTAGTAGTAATAGAACTAGAACAGTAGTAATGCAACAGTAGTAGTAGTAATAGCAACAGTAGTGAGTAGAGTAACAAGTAGTAGTAGTAGTATAGCAACAGTAGTAGTAGTAGTAATACTAGTCAGTAGTAGTAGTAATAGCAACAGTAGTAGTAGTAATAGCAACGTAGTAGTAGTAAGCAACAGTAGTAGTATGTATAGTAATAGCAACAGTAGTAGTAGTAGTAGTAATAGCAACATAGTAGTAGTAATAGCAACAGTAGTAGTAGTAGTAGTAATAGCAACAGTAGTATAGTAGTATACACAGTAGTAGTAGTAATAGCAACAGAGTAGTAGTAGTAATAGCAACAGTAGTAGTAGTAGTAATAGCAACAGTAGTAGTAGTATAGTAGTAGTAATAGCAACAGTAGTAGTAGTAGTATAATAGCAACAGTAGTAGTAGTAGTAGTAATAGCAACAGTAGTAGTAGTAGTAGTAATAGCAACAGTAGTAGGGAGTAGCAACTAGTAACAAGTAGATAGTAGTAGATCAACAGTAATGTAGTAATAGCAACAAGTAGTTAGTAGTAGTAGTAGATAATAGCAACAGTAGTAGTAGTAGTAATAGAACAGTAGTAGTAGTAGTAATAGCAACATAGTAGTTAAAGTAGTAGTAGTAATAGCAACAGTAGTAGTAGTAGTAATAGCAACAGTAGTAGTATAGTAATAGCAACAGTAGTAGTAGTAAATAGCAACAGTAGTAGTAGTAGTAATAGCAACAGTAGTAGTGTAGTATAATAGCAACAGTAGTAGTAGTAGTAGTAGTAATAGCAACGTATGTAGTTGAGTAAGTTATCAGTAGTAATATGCAACAGTAGTTGTAGTAATAGCAACAGTAGTAGTAGTAGTATATAGCAACAGTAGTAGTAGTAGTAGTAATAGCAACATAGTAGTAGTAGTAGTAATAGAAGCAGTAAGTAGTAGTAATAACTGTATAGTAGTATAGCAACAGTAGTAGTAGTAGTAGTATAGCAACAGTTAAAGTAGTAGTAATAGCAACATGTAGTAGTAGTAGTAATAGCAACAGTAGTAGTAGTAGTAGTAATAGCAACAGTAGTAGTAGTAGTAGTAATAGCAACAGTAGTAGTAGTGTATTAGAACAGTAGTAGTGTAGATAATAGCAACAGTAGTAGTAGTAGTAATAGCAACAGTAGTAGTAGTAATAGCAACAGTAGTAGTAGTAGTAATAATAGCAACAGTAGTAGTAGTAATAAGTAGTAGTAATAGCAACAGTAGTAGTAGTAGTAGTAATAGCAACAGTAGTAGTAGTAGTAGTAATAGCAACAGTAGTAGTAGTAGTAATAGCAACAGTAGTAGTAGTAGTAATAGCAACAGTAGTAGTAGTAGTAGTAATAGCAACAGTAGTAGTAGTAGTAGTAATAGCAACAGTAGTATAGTAGTGTTAGTATAGCAACAGTAGTAGTAGTAGTAGTAATAGCAACAGTATTAGTAGTAGTAGTAATAGCAACAGTAGTAGTAATAGCAACAGTAGTAGTAGTAGTAATAGCAACAGTAGTAGTAGTAGTAAGTAATAGCAACATTTGTACAGTAAATACAGTAGGTAGTAATAGCAACAGTAGTAGTTAGTAGTATAACAGTAGTATTGCAACAGTAGTAGTAGTAGTATAATAGCAACAGTAGTAGTAGTAGTAATAGCAACGTAGTAGTAGTAGTAGTAATAGAAGTAGTAGAGTAGTAGTAATAGCAACAGTATAGTAGTAGAGTATAGTAAAGCAACAGTAGTAGTAGTAGTAATAGCAACAGTAGTAGTAGTAGTAGTAATAGCAACTAGTAGTAGTAGTATAGTAAATAGCAACAGTAGTAGTAAGTAGTAGGTATAATAGCAACAGTAGTAGTAGTAGTATAATAGCAACAGTAGTATAAGTAACAGTGTAGTAGAGTAATAGCAACAGTAGTAGTAGTAATAGCAACAGTAGTAGTAGTCACTAGTAGTAATATAGCAACAGTAAGTATAGTATAATAGCAAACAGTGTATAGTATAGTAATAGCAACAGTAGTAGTATAATAGCAACATGTAGTAGTAGTAGTAATAGCAAACAGTTTATAGTAAATAGCAACAGATAGAGTAGTATAATAGCAACAGTAGTAGTATAGTAGTAATAGCAACAGTAGAGTAGTTAGTAGTATCAGCAACATAGTAGAGAGTGTATAATAGCAACAGTAGTAGAGTAGAATAGTATAAACAACAGTAAGTAATTTACAACAGTATAGTAGTAGAGTAATAGCAACAGAGTTTGTAGTAATAGAACAGTGTGAGCAGTGATAATAGCAACAGTGTAGTAGTAGTATAATAGCAACATGTAGTGTATAGTAATAGCACGTGATCACGTAGTAGTAGTAGTAAAGCAAAGTGATAGTAGTTAGTAAAGCAGACATAGAATAAAGCAACAGTAGTATATGTAGTAATAGCAACAGTAGTAGTAATAGCAACTAGTAGTAGTATAGTAATAGCAACAGTTAGAATGTCAGTAGTGATGTAAGCAACATAGTTGAGCACATAGTAAGTAGTGTATAATAGCAACAATATTGTACAAGTAGAGTAAAGCAACAGTATTAGAGTAATAGCAACAGTAGTGTGTGATCAGTAGTAAAGTGCAACAATATGTATCAGTAGTAGTAACAACAGAGTGAAACACATTGTAGTAAGTTAGTATAATAGAAGAGTGTTGTCAGACACAGGTGAGCAATATATACATAAGGTGTTACAAACCACTGACTGCCCAACAATATCACTCTGGTCAAATATTAAGTGAAACAACACTACATCACTTTTCAAACTGTCATTAAACACAAGTTTTGTCAAGATGTTAATGTGACTCAGAGTTTGAAAAATGTAGACAACAACTGATTCTGAGAACCAACAGACTGATGAATTAGACACTTGTTTGAGGTAATCAGTCTGACTAATTAACTCAAACTGCTTCTGATCTTCAAGAATTCTTCTCTATATTGGACTGAAGAAGGCAGCGGTTGGACAAACGTTTCCACAGTAAGTTACGCAAGTGTCGCACAAGTGTCTAATTAACCAAAGTAAAGAAAATCTACACTTTGTATACATATATAACGTGTGTTGAGCATTGTGGGTAGTGAGCCCTATGTATCCAGGCTAGAAGCACCCAGTACCCGGTTACCGGTGTTGTGGTGGTACTGGTTGAAGACTTACCGGTGAGGAGGCCGACGGAGAGTATGAGCTGGGTCATACTGCTGGCCAGAGAGCCCAGCATCATCCCCAGGAAGCATAGGAAGCCTCCCACGAAGGACACTTTCCTGGAGGTGAAGCGTCGACACAGAGTCCCCGTCACCGGCGCTGAAACAAAGATACAGGCGTTGACACATTGTGGTACAGAGACACAGGCGTTGAAACACTGTGGTACAGAGATACAGGCGTTGAAGCATTGTGGTACAGAGACACAGGCGTTGAAACACTGTGGTATAGAGATACAGGCGTTGAAACACTGTGGTACAGAGATACAGGCGTTGAAACACTGTGGTACAGAGATACAGGCGTTGAAACACTGTGGTACAGAGACACAGGCATTGAAACATTGTGATACAGAGACACAGGCGTTGAAACACTGTGGTACAGAGACACAGGCGTTGAAACACTGTGGTACATAGACACAGGTTGAAACATTGTGTGTACATAGGACACAGGCGTTGAAACATGTGGTACATAGACACAGGCGTTGAAACATTGTGGTACATAGACACAGGCGTTGAAACATTGTGGTACATAGACACAGGCGTTGAAACATTGTGGTACATAGACACAGGCGTTGAAACATTGTGGTACATAGACACAGGCGTTGAAACATTGTGGTACATAGACACAGGCGTTGAAACATTGTGGTACATAGACACAGGCGTTGAAACATGTGGTACATAGACACAGGCGTTGAAACATTGTGGTACATAGACACAGGCGTTGAAACATTGTGGTACAGAGACAGGCGTTGGAATATTGATATTTAGAATTACAAGCATGATAACGCTGTATCACGGAGATACAGCGTTAAAACGTTCCAAATGTTGAGTAACAGTAACATATAAGCAAGAGACATATGCGATACATTTATTAAGGAGACGTTTCGCCCACCAGGAAACTTTATCAGTCCAATAATAAAAAATATCAGAGTAAATACAGTGGGGAGGTTGAGGTGGCGCACAAGCTGGAGTGAGAGCTAGGTGTGAATGTTGTGTAGAGTTGTGTAAGGAATGTGTAAGTGTGTAGAGTTGTGTAGAGTTGTGTAAGTTGTGTAGAGTTGTGTAGAGTTGTGAGGTTGTGTAAGTTGTGAGAGTTGTGTAGACTTGTGTAGAGTTGTGTAGAGTTGTGTAGAGTTGTGTAGACTTGTGTAGAGTTGTGTAGAGTTGTGTAGAGTTGTGTAGACTTGTGTAAGTTGTGTAGATGTGTAGACTTGTGTAGAGTTGCTCACATCATAATAGGTAGGTCAGGTTTTGTCAGGAAACAGGACACGCTCGCTCGCTCTCTCTCTCTCTCTTCCTCTCTCTCTCTCTCTCCTCTCTCTCGTCGCTCTCTCTCTCTCTCGTCTCTCGCTCTCTCTCTCCTTCTCTCTCTCTCTCTCTCTTCTCTCTCGCTCGCTCTCTCTTTTTTTTTTTTTTTTTTTTTTTTTTTTTTTTTTTTTTATACACATGAGTTGACAAGGTTAAGGGATCCTAGGCTCTATTGACAAGCTATTTAAAGGTTAAGGATTCCTAACTTTATTGACAAGCTAAGAGCTGTTACCTACATTCAGAACATTTGAAAGCATTTTTATTGTTATGAGAATTACAGTTGTGGAACAGGATGAGTTGGAGTCATCTGTGGGCAGCATTTTTCATTTGATCAACTGACGTTATCTCGCTCGCTCGCCCTCTCTCTCTTCTCTCTTCTCTTCCTCTCTCTCGCTCTCTCTCTCTTCTCTCTCTCTCCTCCTTCTCTCTCTATCCTCTCTCTCTCTCTCTCTCTCTACCTCTCTGCGCTCGCTCGTCTCTCTCTTCTCTCTCTCTCTCTCTCTCTCTCTCTCTCTTTCGCTCGCTCTCTCTCTCTCTCTCTCTCTCTCTCTCTCTCTCTCTCGCTCGCTCTCTCATCTATTCTCTCTCTCTCTTCTCTCTCTCCTGCGTCTCTCTCTCTCTCTCTCGACTCCTTTCGTCTCTTATCTCTCTCTCTCTCTCTCTTCCGCTCGCTCGCTCCTCTCTCTCTCTCTCTCTATCTCTATCTCTCTCTCGCACTCTTCTTCTCTCTCTCTTCTCTCTATCCCCCTTCTTATTCTATCTCTCTGCTACTCTCTCCTCTCTATTCATCATCTCTCTCTCAGCTCGGCTCGCTCTCTTCTCTTTCTCTCTCTCGCCTCTCTCTCTCTTTCTATCTTCTCTCGCTCGCTCTCTTCTCTCTCTCTACTCTCTCGCTCTTCTCCTCTCTTCTCTCTCTCTCTTCTCTCTCTCTCGCCTCGCTCGCTCTCTCTCTCTCTCTCTCTCTACTCTCTCTCTACTCTCTCTCGCTCTCTCTATCTCTCTCTCTATCTCTTCTCTCCTCTCTCTCGCTCTCCTCTCTCTCTCTCTCTCGCTCGCTCTCTCTCTCTCTCTCTCTCTCTCTCTCCTCTGAACTTTCTACTCGACTCGCTCGCTATCTCTCTTCTCTCTCCTCTTCTCTCTCTCTCCTCGCATCTCTCTCTCTCTCTTCTCTCTCTCATCCCTCTCTCTCTCTCTCCTCTCGCTCGCTGCTCTCTCTCTCTCTCTCATCTCTATCTCTCGCTCGCTCGCTCTCTCTCTGGCTCTCTCTCTCTCCTCTCTCTCTTCTCTCTCTCGCTCGCTCTCTCTATCTCTCTTCTCTCCTCTCTCTCTCTCTCTCTCTATCTCTCTCTCTCTCTCTCTCTTCTCTCTCTCCTCTCTCACTCTCTCTCTCTTTCTCTTCTCTCTCTCTCTCTCTCTCTCTCTCGTCCTCGCTCTCTTCTCTCTCTCTCTCTCTCTGTCTCTCTTTCTCTCTCTCTTCGTTCTCTTCCAGTACTGAAGCTAGCCTTCCCTTCCCTTCACATTACATATTTTTATGCATTTCACTCTGTTATTATACAAGTTCTATGTGGAATTTCTTGTGTAATGCAGGTCAGCACTACGCGTGCTCTCACGGCAGTATCCACCTCCTTTAACTAATTTAATCTAACCTAAGCTACTTTGTTTAATCTATGATAAGTTTGTCTAACCTATGGTAAATTAATCTAACATAAATTAATCAAAAGAAGGTAACTTAGTCTACGAACTTAGTTAAGTCTAAACTAACCTAGCTTAATCTAACCTAACCTCCCCCCCAATTAATGCAGCTAAACTTTATCTATCCAAAAACATGTTTAAAATGCAACTAGAAACAAATAAACTAACTCCATAAACTTACTAACACTTGGTTAATCCTGGAGGAATGAATGGTCCTGAATCTTATACCACAAATTCACTCCCTACGGAAAGTAAAAGATTGGACAGGCGATGCAAAATTCACGCAACTTGTAAATTAGGGGGCTCCATGTACACTAGAGAAAAATCAATAATTATACAGGGCCCAAGAATGTTCTTCAAACAGCTCCCACATGCTTAAGGGGAATTACATGAGGCCCTGGCTGCCTTCAATTGACAGGGAGCTGGACAGTATACTTTAAGTCGGTGCCGGATTAGCCAGGCTGTGGTTCGTAAGTTGGTCTACGTGCGGCCAGCTAGCAACAGCCTTGTTGATCAGCCCTTGTCATCAGTGGAGGCCTGGTTGTGGACCGGGGCCGCGGGCGGGCGTTTATCCCAGGGAAATACCTCCAGGGTAGATCCAGGCCAGGCAGGTAGTAGAAGGCAAAAAATTATAGGCCCCCCCTCACACCTCCTCATATGCTTTATACGCCTCTCACTCACCTGCATTTAGGCCTCTCACCTCCTCACGGCATCATAGGCCTCTCTCTCCTCACACTGAATTTAGGGCCTTATTACAACACAGGAGTCCAAATGTCCTGTTATCTGGGTGTAAAGGGGAGCAAAATAAACACAGCAGAAAATTTGCTTGTATATCCTTCTCCAGTTTAGAACAGAATTATGTACACTTTATACACGATGTACAACAATAGGTATTAGTGCACTCAAGGATAAGCAAGGCAGAAAAGAAGCCAATTGAGAGAAACAACCGTGCTTCAACCTGCTTAGATTTGGAATGACAGGGCAGACAGGTGTGTGGTACCAAATCACTATTGCGATTGCTATATCCATCTTCTCATTAGCTGGAAACCTGGGTAACTGATTGAACGACGGCGCACCCATTGTTCTACCTTAGTACCTGGTTCGCTGAGTTGGGGGAGATAGCCTGTAAATGAGGGTGTGTACATAAGCGCGAATAAAGCTTACGTACTCTTTGCATGCCACCAGCTTCTCACTCCTCACCGACATTATATAGCCTCTCACCTCCTCACCCTGCATTATAGGCACTCTTACCTAATCACCCTGCTTTATAGGCCTCTCACCTCATCAACTGCATTTAGGCCTCTCACCTCCATCACCTGCATTATAGGTCTCTAACCTCCTCACCTGCATTATAGAACCTCCTCACCTCACCTGCACTATAGCCTCTTCACTCCTACCTGCATTATAGGGTCTCTCGTCTCCTCACCTGAATTTATAGCCTCTCTCCGCCTCATTGCATTATTGGTCTCCTCACATCCTCCACCTGCATTTTAGGCCTCTCACCTCCTCACCTGCATTTATAGGCCTCTCCCCTCCTTACCTGCATATAGGCCTTCAACTTCCTCGGACCCTTGCTTTATGGCCTCTAACCTCCTCACCTGCTTTTAGGCTCTCACCTCCATCGCCTGCATTATAGGCCTCTCACTCCTCACTGCATTATAGGCTCTCACCTCCTAACCTGAATTTATAGGGCCTCTCAACCTCTCTCCTGCATTATAGGCTCTCACATCCTCACCTGCATTATAGGCCCTCTCACCTCCTCACTGCATATCGGCATCTCACCTCTCGCCTATGCATTACAGGCCTCTCCACCTCCTCACCTGCATTATAGGCCTCTCAATCATCACCTGCTTTATAGGCCTCTCCCTCCTCACCTGCATTTAGGCCTTTCTAGTCAAGTATATATTAATATAGTATACATACGAGAGTGGGACAGGACGAAGCGAAGAGAGTAGGAAGTAGGAATAATGGAAGTAGAAAATGGTGGGTAGTGGTAGAGGTAGGTTAATGGTAGTGGTAGTAGTGGTAGAGGTTATGGAGTGGTAGTAGTGGTAGGTATTGGTAGTGAAAGTAGTGGTGAGGTAGTTGGTAGTCGGTAGTAGT